AACTCTCTCTCAGACAAGGGCCTCTTGTCTAAAACATATAAAGAATTAAAGAAACTCAGACCTCCGAAATTCAAAGATCCAATCCAAAAATGGGCATCTGAGATGAATATGCAATTCTCAGATGAAGAAATGCAAATGGCAAATAAATACATGAAAAAATGCTCATCATCATTGGTCATTAGAGAAATGCAAATTAAAACCACACTGAGATACCATCTCACTCCTGAAAGAATGGCCAGGATCAAGAAAACCGACAACAAATGCTGGAGAGGCTGTGGGGAAAAAGGAACTCTCCTGCACTGCTGGTGGGAGTGTAGACTGGTACAGCCTTTGTGGAGATCTGTCTGGAGATTTCTCAAAAAGTTTGGACTGGAAATCCCATTTATTCCAGCTATTCCACTTCTAGGCATATTCCCAGAAGCACTGAAAGCACCATACCACAGTGATATATGTACACCTATGTTTATAGCAGCACAATTTGTAATCACCAGATCTTGGAAACAACCCAAGTGCCCATCAACTGAGGAATGGATAAAAAAGTTGTGGTATTTCTATACAATGGAGTATTATTCAGCTATAAAGAAGGATCACATTGAGATATTTATCAATAAATGGGCGCAGCTTGAGAACATACTCATTAGTGAAATAAATCAATCTCGCATGTGTGAATACCGAATAGTTTCCCTAATGTAAATAATGATTCAAATATATAAAAATATGTGGTAATCATGATTCCCCATTAGGTGGCCTTGAAGCCTTATAAAGTTTTCACTCATTAATTAGAAAGGCTTTATTCTGGGCTTCTTGATATGAAAATATTTGAAGCTAGAGTATATGAAGTTTTATCCAAATATTTCAAGGAAAAAGACACTATGGTAACTACTATTAAGTCAGGTTATAAGGTGGTGAAGTACTAGGTTGTTGAAACAGTCATGCTGTGACCTCTATTGTTATATTGTTATGTCCTGTTTTATCTCAATCTCCCCCTTATTGTTTCAAAAAAAATTATTTAGTCATTTCTTATGTTTGTCTTAATTAAAGAAAAAATTCAAAAAAATTAGGATATATAAATAGTAACTCTTTTCGATTTCCTATTAACTTGTTTTGAAGTCCTGTAGTACTCCCACGATCTTGTTTTGACTGATTAGACTCTGTTCCATTCTATATGATAGTATCAAGTTTGAAGACATAGGCAACTACTTTGAAGACAATAAGATTCACTAAGATACCTATTCTGGTTTGACTATTGTCTTCTTTGGAAGTCCTGTAATGTTTACAATGCCTAAGTTTTATTGGTCTTGTTCTCTACTGTTTTGTCCAACTTTATAATATCTAATAAGATAGACAATTCTTTTTAAGGAAACAAGGGACAACGTTGATAACCATTGTTGATAAACTTGTACTCTGTTCTACACCATGTGCTATGTCTATCCTTGGTATTGACTGACAGCTTTGTTTTGCCATATTTGACTGTATTCTTCCCCCCCCCCCAAGAAAGTAATAAGCACTAAGGAGTAATAAAATCCAAGATGTGTAAATTTTGTTGTAAAAAAGAGAGGGAAAAAAAGAAAAAAGAAAAAGAGCTCTAACGGATATAACAGCAAGTGTGTTTGGGGGTGTTAAATAGCTGACTTTATCAATGTTTTCGGAACATTGAACACAGCTGTTTGCAGTCTCCCTGTTTGAATGTCCACCTTGTGTTCTTTGATACTGTGATTTGAGGAACTATTTTCAAGAAGATAGTGTGTAATCTACTAGCAGGTAATTTCTTACTGTTATGTTTTTTTGTTTTGTTTTGTTTTGTTTTGTTTTGTTTTGTTTTGTTTTGTAGTTCTGTATTGCGTGTACCCTTACGCCGCTTTGGTTTGTTTTGTGTTTTTCTCTTTTTCCTCTTAAATTAAAAAAAAAAAAAAAAGTAACCGTAGTAAAATCAACATGGTACTGGAACCAAAACATAACCAGAGATCAGTGGAATCGATTAGAAGATACAACCACAACTACAAACACACTCAACCACCTTATCTTCAATAAAGGGGCCAAACATGTTCACTGGAAGAACGACAGTCTCTTTAATAAATGGTGTTGGAAAAACTGGCTCTCCATATGCCGAAAACTAAAACTAGACCCATGCCTATCACCATGTACTAAAATAAAATCTAAATGGATAAAAGATCTAAATATTAAAAGAGAAACACTAAATCTATTGGAAGACAAATTGGGTGAAAACCTTGAAGACATAGGAGTAGGTAGAGAATTCATGAACAGGTCTCAAACCACACGGGAAATACTTCCCAGAGTCAATAATTGGGATCACCTCTTATTAAAAAGTTTCTGCACGTCAAAAGAAATCTCCAGCATAGTGAAAAGAAAACCCACAAACTGGGAAAAATCTTAGTGAACTTTCCCTCAGACAAAGAACTTCTGTCTAAAACATATAAAAAAATTTTAAAACTCAGACCCCCAAAATTCAAAGACCCAATCCAAAAGTGGGCATCTGAGATGAATAAACAATTTTCATATGAAGAAATACAAATGGCAAATAAATATATGAAAAAATGTTCATCATCATTAGTCATTAGAGAAATGCAAATTAAAACCACACCAAGATTTCATCTCACTCCTGAAAAAATGGCCAAGATCAAGAAAACCAACAACAACAAATGCTGGAGAGGCTGTGGGGAAAAAGGAACTCTCCTGCACTGTTGGTGGGCGTGTAGACTAGTGCAACCATTGTAGAGGTCAGTCTGGAGATTTCTCAGAAAGCTGGGACTGGAAGCCCCATTTGACCCAGCTATACCACTTCTAGGCATATTCCCAGAAGAACTGAAAGCATCATACCAAGGTGATATATGTGCACCCATGTTTGTAGCAGCACAATTTGTAATAGCCAGATCTTGGAAACAACCTAAGTGTACATCAACTGAAGAATGGATTAAAAAGTTGTATTTTTATACAATAGAGTACTACTCAGCTATAAAGAATGATTACATAGAGACATTTATAAATAGATGGACACAGCTTGAGACCTTACTCATAAGTGAAATAAATCAAACTCACATGTATAAATACCGAATAGTTTCCCTAGTGTAAGAAATGATAAGAATACATAAAAGTATGTGGTAATCATGATTGCCAATCATATTGGTTTGAAGCCATATAATGTTTTCACTCATTAATTGCAATGGTTTTAACCTGGGTTTTCGATTTTAGTAACTGTGATAATACGAATAGCTATTTTGAAGAAAACAACACAACATAAAAGCTAGTGCTGATTTAATATCCTCTTGTTTTGAAGTCCCATCAAGCTGTTGTACATCTGTTTCCACTGATTTTAACATGTTGTATCTTACTATATTTTACTATATGCAATAGTATAAACAAAATTTTTTATAGACAAAAAGATAATATAGAAACCATTATTTGTTTTCTATTAGCTGGTTCTAAATACCCTGTAATTCTTTCATTCTCTTGAATGGTTTCCCCCTGTCTTGATATGCTTGATGCTATAGCAAACAAAGTAATACTCAAATAATTCAAGGAAAGAGGCATTATGGTGACTATTATTATGTTAGATTATCTGGTGATGAAACGCAATGATGCTTAAATTGTTCAGTTCTGACCTGCATTGTTCTGTTACAATGTCCTCTTTTATCTCAATCTCCCTCCTTTTTTTAATTAATCTATTTTTTCTCATTTTTTTATTAAGGGAAAACTAAATTTAAAAATAGCAGGACATATTATAGTAACTCTTTTGTTTTCCTATTAACCTGATTTGAACTCTAATATTGCACTCCCTATCTTGTTCTGTCTGGTTGTACTGTATTCTATTTTATTTGATAGTATCAAGTTTGAGGGTATAGGCAACCACTTTGAAGGCAATAAGATATACTATGATGCCCACTATGGTTTGACTATTATCTTTTTTTGAAGTCCTGTAAGGTCTGCGTTGTAGGTTTTATTGGTCTTGTTCTATACTATTTTGATCAGTTCTATTATACCTGATGATATAGGCAACTCAATTTAAAAATAGCAAGAGGCACAATGGTAACCATTTTTGATCACCTGGTATTCTATTTTTGCATCATGTACTATGCCCATCCTTCTGTTCTAACTGACTCTGTTTTGCTTAGTCACATTTGGTTTTATTCTCTTCAAAAAAAGTAATAAGAACTGTGGGAGTAATAAAACCCAAAATGTGTAATTGTTATTGTAAAAAAGAAAGGAAAGGAAGGTGGACTAAGGGATATAACCACAGGTATGTTTGAGTGTGTAGGATGGAATACCATATTACTGAGCTTTTGTTGGATCACTGAACGGAACTGTCTCCAATATCACTGTATGAATGTCCACTTTATATCCTTTAATTTTATAATTTGGACAACTGTTTCCAAGAAGACAATATGTAACCTATTAACTAGTGATTTCATACTGTTTATTTTTTTCTTGAAATTCTGTATTACTTGTACCCTTTTACTGCTTTATTTTATTTTACTATATTTTACTATATGCGATAGTATAAACAAAAATTTTTATAGGCAAAGAGATAATATAGAAACCATTGTTCGTTTTCTATTAGCTGGTTCTAAATACCCTGTAATTCTTTCATTCTCTTGAATGGCTTCCCCCTGTCTTGATATGCTTGATGCTATAGCATACGAAGTTATACTCAAATAATTCAAGGAAAGAGGCATTATTTTTATGTCCTTTCTTTTTTCTCTTTAAATAAAAAAATTTTTGAGACAGAGTCTTGCTATAGTGCACAGTCTGTGCCTGATCTTGCAGTCCTCCTGCCTCAGCCTCCTAGAGCATTGAGATTATAAACATACACAATCAAACCCAACTTAAACAAACAATTTTAAAGCATTGGATAAACTGTTATTGCAAACAGAAATTCTGATTTTTTTCCCAATCATTTACCTTGCAGAATACAGTTTTTGATCACACAAGGAAAGAGTCCGGCACCTGCAGCTCTCACAGAGGTTCTGTGTCTGTCATTGCAGGACATGTTCACATCACGGACTTCAACATAGCAACTGTTGTCAGAGGAGCAGAAAAGGCATCCTCCATGGCCGGGACCAAGCCCTACATGGGTGAGTGACCTGGGTCCTTGCCTAGGGCTTCACTTCCCTTCCAGCTTCCTGGTCACCCTCATCCTGCACCCACTCCATCCTGCACCCACTCCCAGGGTGTACTGGTCTCTCCCCAGTTCTCCACTATTCTCATGCTGTCTTCCCTGCTGGGAGACTCTCCTTCTCTGGTTTTCCATGCTTGCACAGGTGGGAACAAAGCAATCTTTTTCTTTACCATTAAAGTTCTAAATAGTATTGTCCAAATACAACTTGGTGTTGGTCATTCTGGGTCTCTACTGTTAGGTGATATTTCAATGCATGAGTGCTTACTGGTTTTCTTGTTGCAACTTTTTATGGAAGCACCACTTTCTTACGTGTTCTGTTCCTTGGCTTGGTTGTTAATGTCACCCGTTAGTTGAGTGTTGTGTCTTCTTTGCCAGTCTTCAATATTTGTTAATTTCTCTCTAATAGTTTTACTTCTTACTTCATTTTTAAATGAAGACATGTTCCACTCATAAAATAAATGACTGAAAAGTATCAAAGTAAAATTTAAAAAATTTTTTCATTGTTATCTTTTTCTGACAGTTTTATTTATTGTGTTCATTTTGTGTGTTCTAGTGGTTTTTATTTCTGAAAGAATTTTTTATTTCTATTTATTTTCTGGGAATCTTTTGCCTGACTTCTGAGGTATTTTATTCTAATTTAGGTTGTGTTTTTCATAGTTTATTTAATTTTCTTAATGTCTTTACTGATCAACTCTGAATATTTATATTAGCTATCAATTCCTGTATGTCAAACTCCATTGAGACTTAGACTTGGAACAATAACAATGTATAATTCCTCCAACTGTGTTGGTTGACCGGGACAAGGAAGTGGGCTTCAGCTATGCCTGGCTGGGCTCACTCAGGCACGTGTATTTAGCTGGAGAGGTAGAGTCAGCAGAGATGAGCAGGGCTCCCTTCATGTCTTCTCATGTCATCAAAGGTCTCCCATGAGCATCCTCATCTGGTAGATCACTTTCAAGATGGTACACTCCATCCCTGCATGCTGCCCAAGATTGCTTGCTGAGCTTCTGGTGGGCACAGCAAGTCACATACCCAACCCTGTGGGAGAGACCCCAGGGCCATGGGTACCAGAAGGCATGATCCATTGGGGACCATGCATGACACAACCCATCACAGTGCTTTTACCCTCTTTTGAAAAAGTTTGCAAACTTTTTATGCTTTGTTTACACAGCTTTCTAGTGTGCTATCATTGTGATAGTCTGTTCCTTATTCTCCTTTTTGTTATAATAACTTTGTATGAAATGTTACTTTGATATTTTTCAGTCATTTATTTTATGAGTGGAGCATGTCTTCTTGGATTTACAGAAGATGATGTGGATTAGGAGAGGTTTCCTCACTGAATAGATCCCATCATTCTGCTGTTTTATGGAGTGTTAAGACTAACATAGCTTGCCGTCTAAGAGTTCCTTGTGCTGCTCTCCCCATCTCTCTCTGGGCATCTTCTTTCTACTGTGCATGGGACCGCTGTCCTGACCAGTGCACTGGCATCTCACCCACAGCTTTTCCTTAGAGTTCCTTTCTAGAAAGGACTTGGGCTGTGTGGATAAGAATTTTGTGTCCTACACCGCTTTACTCCTTCTGAACTTACCTGGGTCCTGTCACTCCCCATTGGAACTAGGAGAGCTCTGGCCAGGTCAGCTGATCCTCCCATGATGAATGTTCTGGGCTCTCTGGGCTCTGAACGTGCTTTGTTGCTGCTCTTTGTTTCTTTGTGTACAGAAGTCACCACCATGGAGGTCTTGTCCCTGTTGATGGTTTGGTTTTTCTTTTTCTACTCACCCATATTTTGGGGGTGTGGGATAGTTTCATTTTAAAGTAAGTGCATCCAAGAGATTTTGGTATAGCTGTCTGTTTGCTGTGTCAGTTTATATGAACAGATACACAGAAACTCAGACTATTTAAATAAGTAAAATTGGTCAAGCAGTCATGGTAAAAACAATAGGTGTGCTATGGTTAATTCATGGTGTCAATTTGAGAAGTTTAGAAGCTTAACTAAGTGACTCAGCAGTTCTACATCCTGGGGTGTACAGGATCCATCGTAGGGTGGGTAGCCTGCTTGAAATATAAGGGAGGAAAAGGGGCTTGCTCTCGCCTCCTTTCTGCTCTCCTTGCTTTTGCTGCCTTCTGCCACCTGAATGGTTGGCCTTCTAACATGTGCCACCCTGTTTCCGAGCCAGCTGATTTGGACTGAAATCTCTACAAACTGTGAGCTAAATACACCTTTCCTTCCTTAGTTTTGGGCACTAGGTATTTTTATCTCCGCAATGAGAGGAAAGTAACCATGACACAGCCACTTGGTTTTGAGTGTTTGCTGTGTGTCGAGCCTTGAACTAAGTACTTCCCATCCATAACTCCATTTGATGCCCAGGATGTTCCTGTTTTAGAGTTGAGGGAGCAGGGGCATGGAGAGCGGGTGACTTTAGGTGGACATGGTTGGTGAGTCAGGCCCAGGTGGACATGATGCTGAGTCCAGAACTCTGTGGTGCTGCTCAGCCTGGCCTCAGTGACAAGTGCTCCCTTAGCAGAAATGCTGGAAGCCATGAACATTCCTGAGTCTGTTCTCTGCAAAGGTGTCCCTGAGGACACTGGATGTTGCTAAGGCATTTCCTGCTGAAGACCTTTCCAAAGTCCCTTCCAGAAGGACCTGTGGCAATCTCACCAAGGTAGTCACTGCCTTTAGACTCAAAAGAAAGCAGAGGAACAGAACTTAAGTGGGGAAAAGAGTGAGGAGGGGTAGAGCTGACCACTCAGGTGTCTGCCTTGTGTAGCTGAGTGGATGCTCGACTGGGGTTCACTATTGAGGGAAGATGATGGCAGCCACAGGCTTGTGGGCTGCTGGGGCTCCTGGGGTGATGAGTCTGAACACAAGGTCTCTGTGGGCCTCAAAGTAACTGGGTATCCAGGAGTCTGGGAGCATTGTGGACTGTACGTGCTCCTAGCTGTGGTCCAAGTATTAAGATGGCACAGCAGAGGCCAGGGTAGGACTCTGGGATGTAGGAGAGGGGAGCTCCAGCAGGGACACAGGAGCCAGAGCCCCGCATCAGACATGACAGGCATGCAATACCCACCATGCATGCTGAGGACACAGAGGCCAAACAGCAGGCGGGAGCAGCCATGGGCAGCATCCACCATGATCCTGCCTTTGGGGTGTTTCCAGAAAGCAAACTGAGCTCAAGGAATGTTGATCCTGGACCCCTGCAGAAGTTCAGAGTCATTTCCCATGAGGCCTGCCTGTCTGCCCTTTGACACCACAGCCCAAAATTTATCTGGCAGAGACTTCTCTTGGCCTCCCCCAGCCCCATCCTGGCAACTCTGCCCTGGCTCTCGGCTCCAGGAAAGGAGAACAGGGCTGCACCCAGCTTCAAGAAGAAGAAGGAAACCTGCATGTGTCATAGCTGTGCCACGTGACTGCCACTGCATTTCCTCCCTCTCACTTTCCACAAGAGGAACCTGAGATCCTTAGTGGTCCTTTAGCCTTCCTGGGCTCACGCAGCTGGGAGCCAAGGAGCCGGAACGTGAGGCTGCATTCATTTGGATCCGAAGTCCAGGCTATTACTTTTGTGACACAGGGCTCCCGCAGCAAAAAGCTGCTTCTCAGACAAGAAAGGAGTTGATTGTCTGAGCTGTACAGAAGACTCAGAGCTGCTGTCATCCTAATTAGAAGAGCCTTGGGCCTGAGGTGGTAAGCAAGAGCCCAGGGAAGACCCCCGAGGCTCTGCAGGCATACTGGCATTCCACATGGTTGCGTTTCAGAGGCTGCTGGGGAAACAGGGAGTTGCTCTAGTGCAGAGGATGAGAGAAAGGAAATCTCTTTTACTAGCACCTAATTCTGCAGGTCGCAGGGCTGGAAAGTCATAATGCCAAGTGACAGATTTGTCCATTTCACTCACTTGAGCTGTCCAGTTCCCAAGCCCAATCACAAACTCCCAGAACACACCAAATGCAGATTCAGGGAACTGGCTGATGAGTAATGTCTCCAAAGCTTGCCCGCAGGGATGCTCCCAGAAGAAATATTTGCATAGAGCCGCATTTTCATTCTTTAGAAGAGCAGATGGGATTCACAATGGCACAGGGGATGGAAACTCTCTCAAATGTGTCAGATTAGAAGTCAAAAGTGTTCCAGCCACCACTTAGGGCTTCAATTTATAAACTCAGGTGGGAGAAAGCTGAGCAACCACACAACAAACAATTAGAGGGCAGAGGAGGCCCAGGGACCTAAATCAGCATCTGGCAGCAGCACAAAGCTCAGGCCGGTGGGGCAGGTAGATGCATGAGCAGAGCCGGTGGGGCTCACAGTCATGGAGGCAGGCAGTGGGGCCACAGGAGGAGCAGTTCTGGGAAGAGGGGAGGTGTGTTTTAGGGACAGTTTCAGGATGAGCCTGAAAGCTGGGCATGGTGACGACCTGAGTTGAACTTGAAGCATGTGCTGTGTTGGGTAAGAACCGGGAGAGCTAGACAAACAGAGAAAGCCAGGGCAAAGACAAGCAGGAGTGAAATTCCATGCTGGGAGAACCTAGCAGGGCCATTTTTTATAGCTTAAACACTAACAGAGAAGGGGAGAGGAGCTAGGCTGCCTTAACACGTGGTCACAGGGGTCCTGGTAAGATGCTCAGGAGCCAGAGGGAGGTGAGTGCTGGCACTGTCATAATCAGACTCGTGGGATCAGGCAAGGTGGGTGACCTAGGAGTAGCACTAGAGGCCAGGCTGCCTGGGGTGGGTACACAGTAAGTGAGGCTTTGGCCTGGGACAAATTTGATGCCTCCTGTTTAGTGGCTGGGTGGCAAACTTGGGTCAGTTTTGTCCCCCAACACAATGTATTGCACGTTCCTAGCTGGGGACCCTCAGGCAACGCTGACTGCCAGATAGAGGGGCTCCCGGTGTCCTCATCTGAAATGGGATGCGATGTTTGCCATGTGCCCCCAAGGTTGCCTGTGTGAGCTGGCCTCAGTGCAGAAG